GATTTCTCTGTGAGGCCCTGTTAAAACAGTAAAATTCGGTACGAATTTGTAAATTGGGTATGGGCATCATTTGACACAACGAAAAGTGGACCCATGCAGGTAGGGAAATCGCAAAATTCATTAAAGACTGGACCTTTCAGGGAGGGGTGGATCGGGGATCCTTCCGGCCATAAAAGTTTCGTATAGTATTTTATAGCCCCCCCCCCCCCCCAGGTTGATTTTTCGATACAATTGTTGATTCAAAAAGTTAAAAATTTGCGCAACTTTAAAATTTGGCATCCGCCATGTTTCGGTGCTTCATGCTAATACAGCCATTTTATTACTGTTGCTACTTCCTAGCCTCCTCCGCAGGCATCTCGTAGTTCTCGTACTTCTTTTTGCCTGCAAGAACTTTTGCCCGATAGTCGAAAGGTGATGCCTGCGGAGGAGGCTAGCTACTTCCTATAAAAATAAAAATTGAGAGTCGAAATTAAAGAGGGAGGGGAACAATACGAACAGGAAATTTTGGAACCAGGGCAGTGGCACAATACAAAATACAAAGCCAAAAAAGGGCCAAAGGGGGTAGAACAAGGTTGCCTTCAAATGAGGCTACATTCCGCTATCAAAGTCCTTTCGGATATTATTTTGGGGGCACCCCCTACACGAAGTGCCTGTCCCTGAACAAAATGGCTACTTAGTGGTGCAGTTTCTTTCTATTTTTGTTCTTTCTTTTCTTTTCCTTCTTTTCTTTCTTCCTTTTTTTCTTTCTGCCAGCATACAAACGTTCTGGGACCAATGGTCCGCTATATTTTCCACCCGTGTTTTATATACTGAATATTCCCAGTTACATGCTTTAAAATAATTTTTGTGGCTAATTACGAGCCTCTAGATTAACAGCCTCTAGATTCAAAATTGTTTGGGAATGCCCCCCACTCCCCTTGCTCCCCGGTTTGTCTGGCCTTTCTCCCACCCAACTTTTAACGTTAAAGATCTAATCCAGGTGCTTTGACTCCTCCCCCCC